AAATAAATAAATAAATAAATATTAAAAAAAAAGAAAGCCTATTAAACTTTAAAAAAAATAAATAAATAAATATACCAATGGGAGTCAACTGAGATTGCAATAAAATTTTAAATTAACTTTGAAAGAATTGCCCTTTTCATCTTACTCTTTCCCTTTCATCTTTCAAGTTTGTCTTATGTATATTTTCATTCTCTCCGATTATTCTCTGTATTCATTATGTTGCTTCCTTCACTCAACTGAAAAACATGGGTTGATAAGGCCCAGAGGCTCCACGTGCGACTCTAGCATCCTCTTTTAGTGAAATCTCCGTAGCCCCAGGACTGAAGTGCACCTAGACGCCACCTTGTCTTGGCTTTTGCCACATAATACCAACACAATGAGCTGAGAATTTCTTTTTCTTTTCATTTATTTGGTAGAGGGTCTCAGTACACCATTCAGACTCATAGTGATCCTCCTGTGTCAGTCTCCCTAGTAGTGGAATTACAGGCGTGCACCACCACGCCCAGTTTTGGGGCCAGCACGGCATGTGGTACTGGGGATCAAACTGGAGTCCTTGTGCTTGCCAGGCAGACACTTAGACTGCTGAGCTATCGCCCCACCCCAGCTGGGAATTTCTAAAGCATCAGTCATCTCATGTTCTCTCCCCAACCCCTTTCTCCAGTATGTGAAGTCTCAACATCAAAGAGTAGCTCTTCCCTCGAAGTATGCGCTGGAGCTACTCACCATCTACGCCTGGGAAGCTGGTACTGACCAAAAAGAGAACTTCGAGTTGGATGAAGGATTAGTGGCTGTGATGGCACTCCTCAGAGATTATGAAGACATTTGCATATACTGGACCAAGTATTACGATTTCCAAAGCGAGATTGTCAGAAATTTTATCAAACAACAACTGAAGAAGAGGAGGTGAGTATCTTGGTTGCATTATTTTCAGCTTCAAGGAATAAGAAGTCCAAGAGAACAGCTTTTTTAAAAAAAGAAACAATTTTAGGGCGGGGGAGATAGCTCAGTGGAGTAAGTGTTTGTCTGGTCATGAGTTCAATCCCTGGTACTGCAAAAAAAAA